TTATTGGTTTATAATTATTGATGCATTATGTATGATGTGTAATCTCTTTAATTGTACTGCTGGTAAAGGTGGAGATCATTTGAATTATTTTATACACTGCTGGTTAGCTTGTGGATCAATAAAGTCTTAGAGTAGAGTAGTAAGTATTATATAGCAGCAGAATATGAAAATACTGGAAAGTAGAGGACAAGTAGCCTACCTCAAAATGGTACTTAAGTACAGTACTTGAGAATTAAGTTAGTTACTTTCCACCACTGGAGAGACCAAGGTATCCTTCAGAAAAGTTCACAGGCAGCTGGACTTTTCCCTTTTTACTTAGCCAGTGGTGGAAAGTAACTGAAGCTACCCAAGTACAGTATCCAATTTTACTTTGCTTAAGTAATCCATTTAATACTACTTTGATACTTCTACTCCACTACATTTCTGAGGTGAATGCACAAGTTACTCTGCAGATTCATATCACATAATCAACAAATGAATTAGACTTGTGTTTATAGGTTAAGATACACTGCAGTATATAAAGTGGTTAAAACTTCCTAGAGCTGCAACATTATGCAGTGCTTAAACACTAATGCATCAATTATTAAAATGCAGTACAATATATATTAACTTGAAATGGGGCATTCTGCATTGCTCTACTTTTGTAGCTACTTTTACTACTCCTACATTTTGAATGCAGGGCTTTCACTTGGAGCTTTTTACATTGTGGTATTGCTACTTTTATTTCAGATTCAGATTCAGATTCGCAGAAATACTTTAATAATCCCAGAGGGAAATTATTTTTCTTACACACTCCAGAATATTATACTATATTTAAGTACCCGAATACTTCCTCCACCACTATGCCAATATGGTGCTTCATTTTATTTATTTTTTTTTAATGACCTTTCTTTGTATGTCACATGGTTGTAGCCAGGATTTTAGAAATACTAAGGTCACGAGTCCACCCCGTAGATTTAAAACAAAATATGACGAGGACATGACCTCTATGTCCTCTTTGGCAGCTAGCTGCAACCCTGGTGAAAATCAGTTACCTTAAACCTTTAGCTGAGGGGACTCTGTAGGTGGGGCCAGTGGGTTTAAAAGGTCACTGTTGGAGGTCAGAGTTTATACAACATTTTCATAAAGGAGAAGTGAATCAAAAACACAGTGGAGGAAAGACAGGCTGACCCTTGTCTCATTGTGCAGGGCAGAGGAGGAGGGAGAGGGGCTTTCCATGGCACTGCGGGCTGAATACAATACCATCTTTGAGTAAAAGACAGATTGCTGCTGGTTGACGATAGAACAGCGTCGCAGTCTACCTCTGTGGCTGCTTTGTGAGTTCACTGAATGACAAATGTTGAGAAATTGACCTGCACATGTTGAGCTGCAGTAAGTCCATAACGTCCTCTTAACTTCAAGAAGGAAGAAATAGGCCATATCCTTAAATATGCCAATACTTTCAGGCATCATCAGTAATACTACAAATTGTTTATTTTCATATCAGCCCCTGGTGATTTGAGAGCTTAAGGTTCAAGGCTGGCTGGAGTTAAAAGGGGACAGTAAGTGCTGCCTGAAATGAATACGAAAAGCAGCTGGGTTTATCTTCACTCACTCCGTGACATGTGCTGCTAAGAGAAAACAGGTGACTAAGGAATGTGTGCTGAAACCCAAACGTAATACTGGAGCTCAAATGATTTGTTGCCACTTAGGCAGATCTGCATTTTAAAGATATATTTGAGTAACTTATCTGATTTAGGTAAATGCCTCTGTAGGTCTTTCTGGTCTGTCCACTTGTCGGTGGTTCATTTGCTGTCACTCTGCATAAGAATGACTTGCTAATGCTTAATTTGTGTTGTTCTTAAAAGAAGAACGACAAGACACCACACAGTGACGCCTATTTGAATGCTGCTCTAGATAAAAATATCTGATAAACGCCTAACATGTAAATGTGACACACACAGACACACAATAGATGAGAAAGTAATAGAGTTAGGTGTAGATTTCCTGTGTAAGTATATGATCTTCATGCCTGAGCTCTTCAGACACACCAGTTGGATATATTTAGAGTCCCTAGCTGGTGTATCCATGCTACAAGGCAGACCACAATCATTCACAACACTGGAAGGGGCAGCACTGGTCTGAGATCAGTCAAGAGGAGTTTGTGTGTGTGTGTGTGTGTGTGTGTGTGTGTGTGTCAACTGGTACGGGACAGGATTGACAGACTCAGAGGTCAGGGCCACTCATGCCAAGTATATAACTCAGGGGTTTGATGCAAGGCTTCAGATTTAAGACACTGCCACTTTTATGGTTAATAATATTTTTAATGTATAATTATGAAGGTATATGGTCTCACAGCTATAAACAGGCATACTAATATAATATATAATATGTATAATACAAAATATAACTAATATTCAACCCAACTAATGATGATGTAGCTATTGTAAATCAAGATACCCTGCAGTAAAGCAGTTAAAGTTAGAACATTAAACATTAAAGTGATCAATACTTATTAATGCGTCAAATTGGCCATTCTGCATAATAAATAGCTTACTTATATTTTTGGTACACCACTTGAGGTCTATTTTGATTTACTGTACTGATACTGTACTTTGACTTAAAGTATTTGAATTCAGGACTTTTTATTTGTAGTATTTCTACACTGTGATATTGCTACTTTAACTTTAAAGTAGAAGATTTTGAGTACTTCCTCAACCACACTGCTTGTGTTTATGTTGTAACCTTTGCCTGCCCTCCACACTTTCATTGTTAAGTAAATACAACTGCATGCATTACATATTTCTTGTACTTAAGCTTAATTATTAACCAACAAATTTTCCTAAACCAATAACAGTGTTGTGTATAAAACGTGGTCACGTTGGTTATTTCATTATTGCAGGTTGACTAACACCAGTGTGGCACAGCAGCACCATCTAGTGGCCAAATGCCCAACATGTCATCCCTATCATTAATTAACCATTGCTCTCCGCGCGCACACGGCTGCATCTTGCGCGTGCACAGACCACAGGTGTCCCTGTTGGCGCCTTATCTGCGTCAGTTATAATAAAAAGTGTTTGTGCTTCTGTAGTATGTCTTCAATTGTTTGTTTTTTTGAGAGATGATGGTGGAATTATATTTGTGAGATTGTGCCAGAGGGTGCATTAGGTTTTTTTTTTTTTCACCGGAAGTCCCGCCTCACATCTCCAGGAAACCAATTGACTGTGCCCCCTGGCGGCCAGTTACAGCTTCATTTTTACAATGTTTGCAAATCCGCAGTGGGGAGAATATCAGTGTGGTGTGCTTGACCTCCAGTGCCATCAGAATGGTTTTAAAATAGCCTGCCTGACTTGAACCATAAAGTCAACATGAACTGTGTTATATAGCACTACATCTGTAAATGGACTTTGGCTGCAAGTTACAATAAGGTGAAGGTGTGTTTAGTTCATTGAGAGTTTATAGGTTTAGTTACCCATGATGTAGCTACAAATGAAGATATTAATCAGACATGTTTGCACAGGGAGAAAGAGAAAGTGAAACCCTGTGCTCTTTGACTGTTCAGATGATTTGGCTGAAATAAATTAAAAGTGTGCATTATCTAAAAACAATAATGAAATATAAAAAACTTGTTAATATTGATATGGTTTTAATTGTCTCTCTTTAAATGTCTCAGTTTATTTTTTAAAGAACGGACAAAAAACATGTATTAGGTTATGGAGTGAAATCACAACATGACCACAGGTACACACTTCCACTTTGTGCATTAATATAATAAAAGTGTTATGTCCAGTTAGGTTCAATTAGCAGAGAACAGTGGTGTCTTTATACAGCATATCATCTGCATCAATACAGGACATGTTTACATTAAAAATGTCTCAGGCAGTTCAGTTCAAATATGTGCTCACAACTCAAACTTTAACTGCAAAGCAACAGATGAAATGTGTTTTTGTTGTGTGTAATTTAGCAGATCTTTTACCTTGAGTTGTGTTGTGTACATTCACACTGGTCAAAGAAACCATCAAACTTTGATTTGATTGGATTTTGTATTTGCCATATTGTCAATTACCCATTTCGTATTATTGTGAGATGCAATAGGTAAAAACTATTTTGTCATTTTGGCAAATATCTAGAGTGTAATTATCTGCTGCAGCACCGGAACAAGCAGATGGAAGAAGAAAAAAAATGCTGATATCATCCCCTCTTTACTAAACTGCAGTATCCCACCACCTAGGTTAGATTATGTGCATCAGCTAGAATATAAAATACTGATGAATTTATTCTTTTAATAATTTAATAGTTTGGACTATTGGTTGGAAGAAACAAGCATTGTGATTGTGTCACGTTGGGCAATGAGTAATTGTGACTATTTTCAGATTTTTTAAAACCGAACAATTAGTCGATTAATAGAGAAAATAATCAGCAGATAAATCCAAAAAGAAAATAATAATTAGTTACAATTCTATACAAAATAGTTGAAAATGATCTCCACCTCAACCAACAGTAAAATCGAGCTTCAACATTAATGCAAACATAATAATTTAATTATATAATATATAATAATATAACAGACACAGGGGACATTTTGACATTGAGTAGTACTTTTACTTTATGTATATATTTTCCTGATAATACTTACATACTTTTATTTAAGTAACATTTTCGATGCAGGACTTGTAACAGAGTACTTTCACAGTATGAAAGTACTCTGTGTACTCTGAAAGTACTAATACTTATACTGAGGTAAAGGATCTGAATACTTGCTCCACCACTGCACAAAGCTCTACTCTTATCAACTTCAGGGATTTATCCTGAGCAGTAAAGTCATAATAACCAGCCATGAATTATACCCAAAGCCCCCCTATCGGCGGGGCGGGCAAACCACTCGTCCTCCAATCAGGTTCCCCGGCGCTGTCACGTGCCTCTTGCTGACCAATAGCGAGCCGCAGATTAACCAGTTTGCCGCACCCAAGTGGGATGATGGTGGATGGGCGGAGCGGCGCAGGGACGACAAGGCGCAGAGAGATAAACCCACTCTGAAACCACCAGGGTCGGGGATTAAAATAGTCAAAAGCCGCCGTCCCGCTTCCACCGAACACTGTTTATATTTCACCACTTCATCAAAGAGAGGGTAAGCTCTGAAATAATCGACATGTATTGCATTTCAGCGGCAGTGTTCGTCCGGTGACCCATGTGTTTTTGTAGTGTTTGTTCCACAGTCTCTCGGTGTGTTTGTGTGGCGAGCTCTCACTGTTTTGCTAAGATGTTGCTCGGTGGAGTCTGCAGAGAGGTGGCGGTGCACGTTTTTCCCACACCGTAAAACTACTATTTCTGCGTTTTTAGGGCGATTTAAATGAACCCTCAGCTCGGACGGTTTCCTGTGTTGAACAAAAAAAAACATTCAGACGACCACATGCCCGGTGTCTTTTTGCCTCTAGTATCGTTAGCTTGCTGCTCGAGCAACGGCCCGCGGTTGTGTTATTTTGTAATTCGCACAGTTACTGTTTCCATTTAATGGACTCCTGTGTTGCTCAGGTTGATAATGTTTCCTCATGTGGTGTTTCTGCAGTCTGTTTCTAGCATGGGCGTGTTTTGAAGCAGAGGAAATTGGGCTGTATTTGTGTGGTGATGGAGCAGTTTCCTGTTGGTCAGATAGCACTGTCCTGCATAACAATAACTGTGGATATTGATTTTTTTTTTTTTCAAATTGGTTTGCACATCACTTTCCACCCTGTCTTTTCACAGTATTACTAGCATGGCACAGTGCATTAGATGGTGCTTTATTAATCCCATTGGGAAATGATGGCGTTACAGAAGCCAAGTCATATCACATCTAAGTGAAATGCATTGAACAAAACCTGAGATGGAAACAAAACACATCCCTAGAGATGGATGTAAATCTTGAACCATATTCTAAACTCTAAAATATGCAGTGTACAGCTTTAATGCATGACGACACACTGTACAGTAGTAGTGCCAAAATACAATAAAGCATGGTATTGTGGATTCACATAAAATGTATTATCAAGGAAAAGTTGGGCTTTTGGCAAGTCCACTTGGGCTCTGGAATTTTGTGATCACCGTTTTCTTAAATGTTATAGACTTAAAGATTATTAGAGTTATTTAAGACATAATTAAAAGATTAATAAATAATGAAAATGACTGGTAGTTGCAGCCCGGATTGTCCGGCTCTCATAAGAGTGACAGTAGCACAATTGAGAGGTGATAATCTTGTAAACTACAGGTTTTATTTTTTAGGCCCAAACTTGAGACCACCACCACTAAGTTGCTGCTTTGTCTGGCTTGTTTCTGGAGTCCACTGTGAGGTCCCTTCCCCCCGCATACTGTATGAGGATTAGCAAAGTCAAACTGCCAAGATAGACTGTCTGCGAGTGAGTGAGTGTGTGAGTGTGTGTTAAGGGATGGTAACTCCCTGGATTTGGTCATTCTGTTAGAATGAGTGAAATTCCCAAAGGAGGGCGCTTAGCTCTGTCAGTCTGGCTCCATGTTGCCACCCTCCGCACACACTACAATACTACACACATACGTACACACTCACTCTAGATACTAGTGTTTGTTTTACTCCCACTCCCCACGCCCACACCCTAGACTGCAGTGCAGCTGAAAATGTGTTCCTCATTTCAAGTCCATTCTCTCTGTTTCACTCTTTCCTTCCTCCCTCCCCATATGTGATCACTTATCGGGGTTTCAGGAGACTTTTTTTTGTCGTTGAAAAAAAATTGCCATTCGTGAACTTTCATTGGCACCACGGAGGTCACTAAAGATCATGTCAACGTGTGTAGCTATGTTTGGGTCAAATATTTATCCAGAACGCTGCACAAATGTACACATGATAGCGCAGGCCGGAGTGTGAGGCTAGGGAAACTGCACAGGGAGGGGTGTGTTGTTTCAGCGAGCAATCTTCCACCACTCTGTCCCGTATGACATGGGACAGCCAGATAAACCCTCAGCCACTGTACTCATATGCTAACACAACACAGCGCCTGGCCTTGGTAGTCAGCAACAGATAATACCTTTCCCATGCCGATAGTCCCTCTGATGGTGAAGCTTACATGTACATTACATATCATTTTTTCAGTTTTTCTTGTCTCTAAGATGAAATTTGGACGTGTGTCTTGGCTCTGATCTATCTGATGATTAATCATTTAATTGGACAGCTTGGGAAAAATAACTGAAATAGCTGATTTTGTGGCCATTTGTGAACACAACCTTGACATACCGCCATCTTGATATGGTGAACTTGTTAGCAAACAGTTGCCCGTTTACACATCTAGCAGTTACGGAGCAACATTAGCATTCATTTGGAGTCGTGTTTCTGTCCATCTGACACATTGAAGTCTAATATCTCAGTTAGGAAGTATAGGAATATAAATTACAGCTGCTTAAATGTTCATCCTAGATCCTCTTTTGCTCTGTGCCTCTAGCTCAGTTAGCATCTGCCAGCTTGAAACCACATTGTGTGATATGATTACATAGTGGAAAATGGATAAAGACTGAATCTAATGTAATGTAATATAATTTAATAGAATGAGTCAGTGGATGATGATGAATTATAATCCTCTATAGCAGGTCAAGGCCAGTCCACCTGACTTCAAAGAGGAAACAAACACTAGCAATGTAATTCATTAAAATACCTCCAAAAAGATGAGGTGCCCAACTTGCAGCCCTATCAGGCTTTCTAGTTGGACAATTACATTTCATCACTAAATAAGTGCTGCTTGTTGGATTAAATTCATGTGCCAAACTGTGGGTTGCACTCACACTTAACCTTGATTCTCAAATCAAGGACAGGTTTATATGTGGGCTGTAAAAAAAGGAATTTAAGATATTAAAATGCATGCAGTGTAGTATGAGATTCACACTGAGAAACATAATAGCACAAGTTGAAGAGAAAACACAAGTAATGTTGCCACAAGGCCTAATTTTCTGGTCCTCAAGGCATGTGTTCTGAGCAGTGAGGTCAGTAATATGCACATGTTGTTTTCCTTTTGTTAAACCCTGTATTTTAGTGTGTCAGCTCATGTTGTAAATGACTTCTGTGTATGTCAGTTGCTATCTGGTGTGCAAGACCATACATGTGGCAGTGCTAAAATGACATCTAATGCATTCCTACCCGTCCTAGTATTTAGGATCTGTAACACACACACACACTAAAGAACAGTTGCTAGTGGATTCTTCGTCCCCAGTAATGACAGGCATCCAGCACACACACACACACAC